AGTATAAGAAGCTCCAATGTTTCTTTGAAAAGAAACTCCATCTAAGAGTGGTGACTAAAGAGATACTACTTAGGAGGCACCTACAATAGTCTAGAGGAAGACAGATATTTATTTGAAGTTTCTTGTTCTAACCATTATTTGAAATATAGACTATTTAGGGATCCACTCACACATACTTGTATACATAATTTTTTACTAGAATAATATATTTGAGCCTACAGATTAGGTTCTTTTCCTTATTTTATAGGTGATATTAGTATATTAAAAAATAAAGTACTAGATTAAAATCCAGAGGACTTGGAATAAATGATAATAGTAAATAATCATAACACAATTATACAGCGATCACCATGTGTCACAAGTTGTTCTCTTGCTTTACATGTATTAAATAGGTCCTGTTAATAAACATAAGAAATGGATACTATTACATTACAGATAGGAAACTGGAGCATAAGAAGTAGTAACTACATTAAACAGGGATAAGTAGTAAAGCTGGGAAATGAGACCAGGCATGCTAGATAACAAGATCTGGACTCTTGATCACTAGCTCCAATTAGTTCTACTAAATTCTACTTATATAACATACTGTTCTTGTCTCCTTTTACTTGTCCCATTTGTTTGGGTTTTTTAGCATTGGTGGATTTGCCATGCAAACAACCCTCAGGCTGAAATTATACATTCCAACAGTTATGCAATATTAATTAAATGGCCAGAGCATATTCCTACTATACATAAGACTCTAAGTTCCATTCTTAGAACTGAAAAAAAAAGAAAGAAAAGAAAAAGGAAACAAAGATCCCATTTCCTCAGTTATTCAAATGCCTATTAATATACCTATTCCTCAGTCATAAAAATCCCCATGTGTAACAGGCACCTAAACCGATGCATTCCATGTTCAATAATTCTACATCTCCTTCTCCTCACTACTAAATGAAATGCTTGTCTTAAAAAAAAACAGAAATCAAAAATATGCCAAAATTTGTGTAGATTTAACCTCATCTGATATTTAAGAGTGTTGTCTTTTCTTTAGGAAAGTTCTAGAAGCACTATTCAATTCACCTTAGAACCCTTGCAATATAATATCACTTGGCAATAACAATCAACACAAATAAATGTTCTGAAATTAAACTGAGCAAGAACAGTTGAGTGTGCTGATGAAACAGGACCCCAGGAGGTTTGCAAGTTGAGTCTCTGGTATCCTGATCTCAGCAAAAAATGCCTGGTAAACTCAGTATGCCTTTTAATTTCACAGTTCCATTTCCACCAAGATCCAACTTCAAAATCTTCATTTCTCAAAGTTCAGAATGTATCTGACTGTAGCTGTTTCCCTGCCTGCAGGTTTTATGAGGACCGTGAACTAGAGTTTATTTTGTTATTAAACTAAAACCAAGTAGTAAATTATAGGGAGGAAACAGAAGCAAATTCTGCTGAGGAGGTAATTTTTTCTAAGTGATTGCTGTACCTTCTTCTGAATGAGCAAGTAGTGGAGCATATCTTAGGAATTTGTCATCATATTTCATCTTTATTTGCCTGTGATTTAGCAACTGAAGCAATATTTTAAAGAAACAATTTCTACACAGGGAAAGGTAAATTGAGAGAATAATAATGTTTTAGCAGTTATAATAGTTCCCCAATAAATACTGTTTCAGCAATTGGATTGTTTTGTTTTTTTAAATCCATGGACAAAATGCTGGGGAGAGAATGAAACTCAAATATTTCATTCTTCTCAGCATTCCTGAAACTGCTGAGTGCCAGTTACAGGATCTTTTTATACCATACAGTTCAGAATTTTCAGGGGAAAGTAATAGGGAAGGAGGGAATCAGATCAAAGTCATAAAATAGACAAAAATTAGTCTTTACCAAATAGTATGAAGTATGAAGTCTAAGAATAGTATAAAGACTAAGGACAGACAGCAAGCTTTTGAGTGCTTGCCCCCCATCAAACTTATCTCTACACAGTTTGCCCAGCCCACTCACATCCTCAAAGCAGAACAAAATTTGCATAAAGGTCCAAGAATCTTTGCACAAAGAGAGAAAAACAAAACTCAGCAGGTTCCCTTCTATTTTCTATAATGCCACATGCAATGCCAAGAGAGCCTTATGAAATACTGACATGTGTCACACTGTAAAAGATAAAAAAAAAAATCACCCATCCAGTGATAATCCCCACCTCCACCCACCCACCCCCAATGTGGAGGAAATAAAACTGAAGCAACATCATCATGAGATGGGAATTGATGTTTTGACATAGAAAAACAAAGGTTCTAAGAAACCGCTGTTGTTTTTCAAGCCCACAAAGGTTCAAGCCTTTACAGGTTCCTTAGAGTGACTTTCAGAACATAGGAATGCTGCTCAGGGTTTAGACTGCTTATTGTGGAAATTCTGGATCTTAGGGAACCTCTGTCTTCAACAAGTTCTCAGATTCTGGAAAATTGATAGGATGAAACTCTACACCTTTTCTTTAAAAAACAAGAACAAAAAACAGCTCAAATTAAAATATTTTCTAAAATAAAATCATCATAAAATATTCCATATTACTTGATTTCTTTAGAAACACAGGTTTCTTTCCACCCTCTAAAGAGATGGTAGGGAAAGTGTTTGTATTAAAAATGACTATCATCTGGAGCTGGGGTTGTGACTCAGTGGTAGAGTGCTTGACTAGCATGTGTGAGGCCCTGGGTTCAATCTTCAGCACCACATATAAATAAATAAATAAAGGTATAAAAAATGACTAGCATCAAATATATTCAGAAGATAAGGGAATTTCACTAGAAATTCAAGAAATCAGGGTTATGGAAAGGCTCGTGAATTAAAGCGAATTAATTCTATTTCAAGAGTGTTCTGCGAAACAAGACTTTTCCTAGAATGTTTAAAAATAAACAGAAAGTGGGAAAAAAGAAGAAATCAGTACATGGTAGTGGTAAGTGCAGAAAGTGTGCTCCTAAATAGAAATATTAAGGAGCAATCTGTTATCCATGAAAAACAGAACCATTTGCCAGAACAGTTATGTCTTGCAATAAGAGATAGCTGAGTATCTGAGGGGAAAAAAAAATAGGGGAAGTAGAAACATGTGCTGCTCTCAGATACTTCTTAAGACAATCCCTTAATCCCTGTATTTTCACAGGCTAGTTCTGAAGGGGATGACAGACTCTTCTGACTGACTGACACACCAAGAACAAGTTTGAGGCTCCTCAGACACTACTCTGTCTCAACTGCCCAGGCAGGGCTAGAGGGGGCTCTCCATTATGTTCACAGAGCTCTTCTTTCTACCACTATGTTGGCACATGTCACAATTGCAATATCATTTCTTTACATGCAAATGGATACCAAATGATAAGAAGGTAAGAACCAGATACTCATGTACTAAACTGGACTGATATGTTTACATCCTCTCCCCCAAATTCATACATTGAAATCCTAACTTCAATGTGGTCATGTTAGGATGCAGGGACACTGATGGTGGAGCTCCCATCAACGGGATTAGTGCCCTTATGAAAAAAAAACTCTGGAGAGTTCTCTAACCCTCTTTCTGCCATACAAGAAGAAGGTGGCAATCTGAAACCCAGAATAGGGCCCTCACCAAAATGCAGCCATGCTACCACCTTGGTCTCACCTTCTAGGTCTCAGGACTTTGCAAAATAAATTTATGTTGTTCATAAGTCACCCAGTCTATGGTACTTTGTTATACTGACTCAATAAATGGGCATCAATTCATTCATTACTAAATTAAATGATAAATTAATGCATAAGGAAAATGAGACCCAGACTTGTTAATTGACTTTGGAACAGCTGCTTTGTGACAAAGTAAATCTCCCCAAAATCCTTCAAATATTTTTTGAATATATAATCTAGCAAAGAATTTTATTATAACAAGAAAAATTCTACAATAAGACTGGTAATGACTTATTACATAATGCAAATGTGTGCTTCTAATTAGCTGTTTTCCTTTTTAACATTTAAGCAATAACACTGTGTTTCATACTATGGAGAAAAGTTGACACTTTGGAGCAAATATAAAAAATAATTCCATTCCATTTTCCACACATATGTATCATGGTTTATCTGTGTTCCTGATGCTGTGCTGGGACAGAAAGACAAATGAAGCAGATCTAGACTCCTGAGGAGCTTGTCATCTAGTAGCACTTACTGGAAAACCTACATATTCCTTTGTTTTAAAAAACAAATACAAGATTTTCTTGAGAGAATTTTTTTCCACAGAAAAATAATGCATGTATTTTTAAAAAGTTAAGGGAAAGCTCCTGAAAACAGAGACGCTGTAAAGGAAGAAAACAGCAGTGACCCTAAGTTCTAGTACCTCTCCCTGGGTGGCTTCCCACCAGCCTGGTGCTTTACAGAGCTCTTCACTGCTTTAGAGAGTATTAAAGATTATTAACTGAATTCTTGGCATTCTTTCTTAACCCATCATAGTCCATATATATTCTGAGGAACAAACCAGACATTCTCTGCTTTCTGTGTTCCAGAAAACTCCCAACTTCCCAGGCAATGCTGATGGTATAGGTTCAGGCACCAGATTTTCAGATGTGCCCCTCCCCACAAAAGCAACACTCTAACAATATATAGAGAAATAATGGCTAGGAAAGTCATCTCTTTCTAGCATCAGTGACCTGCCACAACATCCACATATGCATCACACGGCAACTTGTACCTTACCCATGCTCATTCCTGGAATTTACTTTCTCTTCCACAAATAACTTTACAGACATGTGACCTGGACAGACACAAGTTCTGCTCTTAAAAGGGCCTCATACTTGGTTAAAAGTCTTCTGTCTGTCATATGAAAATAGTTAATTTTTAACAAAGGATTTCTCATTTTTTAATTTTGCACAGGAATCACAAATTATGTACTTGTGACCTCAGACTCTTGAAATCTAAGATCAAGATTGTACAGTTTCCATATTAGCACAGTGTCCAACTCCCATAAGGTATTTTCATCCCAGGCATTACCATAAAAGCATACTGAAGACAAAATAGTGACTGACCTTCAAGTGCAACAATCCTTCTTATGTGAGGTGAGGACCATGATAAAGGGATTCCTTTGGATTCCATCGTGGACTCAAAGAACCAATAATTTCCAAAACAGTGCCAGTTAGAAAGGTTGCTGTCCCTTCAGTCACAGTCCATTGATATACTGGTCCGGTCAGAACTGTTCTTAGGGTCAGCCAAACATCCTCCTGGGTAAGCAAATGAGGGTAAAGGGGACTAAGGGGATGGGGTATAGTTCTCTTACTGTATACACATGATTACTAGATATTACTGTACAACTATAATAGGTCTCAAAACCTGAACCTGTAACATCAACATCACTGAAGGATTTGTTAGAACTGTTCAATCTCAACCCTTCTGAATCAATCATAGGGGCAGGGGTAGAAACCTGTGTTTCAACAAATATCAAGGTGATTCTGATACCTCTGAGAACTACTGGCTTCTTATACATAAAAGAAACCATTACTTCTAGTTGCAAATATAAAGCATCAGTTGTGATAAATGTCATTCAATCTATTGAGGAAAGTTACATTTATTCATTCATGTACTTCAATCATAGTTACTTTATATATATGCCAAGTGTGTGTGTGTGTGTGTGTGTGTCTGAAGTGAGCCAGGCACTGGAAAGGATATAAGGCTAATTGTGTGTTGTAAAAGGGTTTACAACCTAATGGACAGAATAAGAAAAGCAAATTTATAGACAAGAATAATACTGCCCAGAATTCAAACTAAGTACCAGAAAGTGTACTATGGGCATGACTAAGAGGAGAGAAAACATGGAGTTTATGAAAACAAGGTTAGCAAAACTTAGCAAAAGCACTCCATAACTGGAATTTTGACATGTAGTAATAGGGAAAAGAACCTTCCCACACAGGAGAAACATAAAGGCATGAGTTGGGAAAGAATAGTGTATTTCCAGATGAATGAGTAATTCTCTTGTGTTGGATTTGAGTTCTGTGAAAAGGATTAATCTGAGAATAAACCAGAATAATAGTATGAGGCCAGCTTTTGGAGTAAGCGCCTTGGGTTGCAAGGTGGAATTCAGGCTTCTCAGAATGGGGGTGAAAAGAGTATTCTGAGTCCTGTAATGGGGGTGAGCAGCACTCATTCCTTCAGATTCCTGCTTAATCTTAGCCACATTTCCACTGTGTGATTCCCCAAGAAAACAAGTAATCAATCTGTGATGCTATTTTCACAAAGAGAAAAATACATTTGTCCTTTTATTTCAAAGGTAAAGTCAGGGGGCTGGAGATGTGGCTCAAGTGGTAGCATGCTCGCCTGGCATGCGTGCGGCCCAGGTTCGATCCTCAGCACTACATACAAAAAATAAAGATGTTGTGTTCGCCAATAAATAAATAAAAATATTTAAAAAAAAAAAAAAGGTAAAGTCAGTTGGGCAGAAATGTGTTGAGACAGGTGGCGGCAAAAGCAATTGCTGCTCCATCCTTTTGAACTAGATGCTTCTTTATGGTCTTGCCAGACAATGCAAAAGATGCTATTTGTAAATTGCTTTTTTATTTTTTCACATTGAAATCTCTCATAAGGACAGATTTGTTCTTGTTTTTGTTTATGGCTTTATTTTTTTTTAAGTTACAAGTAATTTGTAGTTTGGAGAGTTTTCTGAGCAAGGGTGTGTTTAAGCTTCCACTTTTAGACACTAGACTTCCAGCTCATTTTCTCTCTCCACCCTCATTTCCTGTGTGGTGTCGTGGATGGATTAATAGGCATCCTCTTTAAATCCCTGGGCAAGAGACATCTGTGACAACATGATGGGCACTAAGGAGAGGGAGTAATATCACTTGTTAGCTAGCTTTTAAGCTTTTTATGCTGATTTCACTACACTCACTCTTCCTGACTTTTGTAAGGCTAGGTACAGAAATGTAGACAAATGGATTATAATAAGCAAAACAACTTATTAAAAATGTGTATGTGCTTAGAAAATAATTAATCTTTTAAATGTTAGTTCCTGAGGGCAAAGACTATCTATGGTTAATTCTATACAGCATTCAAATGATATAAACTAAGTCAATGCTTTGAGGGCCTCATTTAAAAAGCAATACAAAAATAGCTAGGAAAATGTAAATTAGTACTACTTCTATGGACAGCAAGTTGGCAATGAACATGCAAACTTAAAATACATCTAAAATGCAGGCCAAAAGTTATAGTTCTAGGATTTTTATCTTATAGAAATACTCAAATAGGCAAATGGCTCTGTACAAGGTCAGCCAATAAAGTATAAATTATAATAACAACTTTTTAAAAGATTGTAAACAACCAAAATGACCATAAATAGGTAAGTGATTGAATAAAGAACATTTATAGAACACTTGGTAACGAGAGCAGAGGAGGAAGTATTAGTATTTATATACTAATATGGAAAGAGCTCCATCATATACAGTTCCTGACAAATGAAAGAGGCAGCATAATATGGTCAGTATATTAATATAAAAAATCAGGGACAAGGATTTATATGCTGATTTATAATAAATAAATAAATAAATACAAGACCAGGCACAGTGGTATGTGCCTGTAATCCCTGAGACTCAGGAGGCTGGGCAGGAGGATCACAAGTTCCAGGCCAACCTGGGCAATTTAGTGAAACTCTGTTTCAAAATTTTAAAAAATATAGCTCAGTGGTAGAATGTTCTTGTGTTCAATCCCAGTACCAATAAACAAATAAGCAAAAGTATACAAGAAATGTGGATACAAAACAAAGATAACATTGACAACTTCTGAGGAAAGGAACTAAGTGGTTGAGAAAACAGTTGGGAGACTTTTCACTGCATACCCTTTTGTGCCCCTTAGGTTTACAGCTGCATGAATGTGTTGTCTATATAAAAGTAAATGGCCCCTATCTCTGAATATTACAAAAATCAACTTGGAATAATGACTTAAATATAAGGCCTGAAACTACTAGAAGAAAACAGAAAATGCTTCAAGACATTGGAATGGACAAAGACTTTTTCAATAAGACCCCAAAGGCACAGGTAACAAAAGCAAAAATAGACAAATAGGCTTATATGAAACTAAATGTTCTGCACCATAGAAATAATCAACAAAATTAAGAGATCAGCTGTAGAATGGGAGAAAATATTTACAAACTGTCTGAAAAGGGAATAATATCCAGAAAATATAAGAAACTATAAAAACTCAATAGCAAAACAACAAATAACCCCATTTTTTAAAAAATGGGCAAGGGCTCTAAATAGACATTTGTCAAAGAAAACACATAAAAGAGCAACAGGTACATGAGAAATTGGTCAAGGTCACTAATCATTAAGGAAATGAAAATCAAAACCTCAACAAAATAACACCTCATCACTTTTAGAATGGCTAACATCAAAAAGACTAAAGATAATAAGTTCTGGCATGAATGTGGAATAAATGAATCCTTTCAAACTGTTGTGGGAATGTAAATTAGTACAATGATTACAGAAAACAATATGGAAGTCCTCAAAAATTAAAAATAGAACTACTATATTATCCATAAATCCCACTACTGGGGAGTTATCCAAGGAAATGAAATAAATCTGTCAGAGACATCTGCACTCCAATGTTTACTGCAGCACTCTTTTGACAACTTCAGAGAAATGTAAATCTCCATTAACTGAGGAATGAATTTAAAAAATGTGGTAAATACACACAAAGGAATACTATTCAATCATAACAAAGAATGAAATTCTGTCATTTGGGACAACATGAATGGAACTGAGATCATTATGTTAAGTAAAAGAAGCTAGGGACAGAAAGATAAGCACCATATGAGCTCATATGTGGAGTATAAAAAAGTTGATCTCACAGAAGCTGAGAGTAGAATGGTGTTAACTAGTGGCTGGGGAGTACAAAGAAGAGAGGGTAGGAAAAGGTTGATCAATGCACACTAAGTTACAGTTAGATAGGAGTAAGAAGTTCTGGTGTACCATTGGACAGTAATGAGTCTCTAGATGATAATATACTGTATATTTCAAAAATGTAGAAGAAAGGGTTTGAATGTTTTCACTATAAACTATAAATGTCTAAAGAGATAAATAATGTTGCACCTGATTCAAATATTATGCCATGTTTACAGGTATCAAAACATCACATTGTACGCCATAAATAGGTATGATTTGTGTATTTTTATGTGGCAGTTAAAAATTAATTTAATTTAAAAATTAAATGAAGTAAAATAAGATTTCTGAGCAGGTTTTTAAAATTAACTAAATTATCAGCCTAAAAAGTAAAATAGAAAATCTTATTTCTCTTAATCCTTCTGAAAGACTATCACTTTGAAGTTCTTTTTCTTAAAAATACTCAACAAAATTTCTCCAGTCTAAAAAATAAATAAATAAATAAAAGGAAAAAAGTAGAGACCAGGAATGTAGCTCAGTGATAGAGCACTTGCCTAACATGGACAGGGCACTAGATCCTATCCCCAGCACCACAAAAAAAATAAAAATTGAAAAATAGATGCTAGATGATGAGTAGATTTGGGATAGATATAGATAATGAATAGACAGATTAGATGAATAGATGGTTAGGTAGATAAACAGATAGATAGATAAAATGTTTTATCCTGCCAAGTAAGAGAAAAAGATCCAAGTATCACCTTTACCCAAAAGAATCAAAGCTAAAAAAAATAAAGGCAGTGTCTGGGTCTGTTCGTGGTGCTATAACAAAATAGACTGGCTAGTTTATAAACAACAGAAATTTATTTCTTACAGTCATGGAGGCTGAGGTGTTCAAGATCAAGTTGCCAACAGATTAAGAATCCAAAGAGGGCCTGCTTTAGCACCTTCTTCCCAGATCATAACATGGTAGAAGGGGCAAGACATCTCTCTTAGTCCTCATTTATAAGAGCATTAATTCCATTTATGGGGGCTCCAATCTCATGACCTAATCACCTCTCAAAGGTCCTACCTTCAAATACTATCATCTTGAAAGTTAAGATTTCACATGATTTTTAGGGAGACACAAACTTTCAGACCATAGTAGACAGGTAAGAAAATGCCACTGAAACAGTGATCTTAAAAACGGAGGACAATATGTGAAAGTAGAAAGGGGATTAATAAGCCAAGTTATTTATTTTGATTTTCTCATTTCAGGGAAAATGTCATGCAGTCTAGTAATTCACATACAGTAAAAAATCAATGCCCCAATATAAACCAGTTGCTCAATAAAAATCAACCATTCTCCCAATGGATATGCAATATTTTGCAATGAAATAAAAAGAAAGTCATTACATGTGACCTTATAAAGAAAACATATCATGCCATGTAATGAGTAAGTGAGCCAACAACATCTTCACAGTAATTATTGTATTAATAACATGCAGGTATCATGATAACAAACATAATTGAACAAAAACTATTGTATGAGGGACCAAAACAATGGGTCCCATATGAAAGTCCTGTTATAATCTGTTTTAATTAAGAATGGATTCAGATCATCTGAGGAAAGCAAGGATTACATATTCTTTGAAGCTGTTCTCCATAAATATTACTTTTCTCAGTTGGCTTCTGCTTCATACAGAGTGATTGTGAATTTAATGTTATAGTTTCTGACACATGCCTACAGATATTAACAGGTACAGCTGTAGGACAGAACAATGGATTCTAATCATCAGCAAAGTTCATCCTTTAACTAAAGCTGAAGAGGCTTTCTGTCCCATGTGGGAATATAAATTTTAGCTACTTCTGCATAAAAGTAAGTTAAGAGAGGTCAAGTCTTTCCTTGAAAATATTTTAGGCTCATTCCAAAATATGCACAAATAGAGTAATTGATGGGCAAAACTGACAAAAATTTAACATTTTTGCCTGAAAAAAAATACAAGTCAAATGTTATCAAAAGTCCCTTTTAGTCATTTTTTTTTTTGGAGGAGCAGGGGGTACCAGAGATTGAAGTCAGGGGAACTTGACCACTGAGCCACATCCTCAGCTCTATTTTGTATTTTTATTTTAGAGACAGGATCTCATTGAGTTGCTTAGCACCTTGCTTTTTGCTGAGGCTGACTTTGAACTTGCAATCCTTCTGCCTCAGTCTCCCAAGCCGCTGAAACCACAGGCATGCACCACTTTACCTGGCCCCTTCAAGCCATTTTTTAAAGTAGTCAGAGGATATTTAAACCTGAGCAAATGACTTCATGGTAAAGGACCAAAAATAAACTGGTTACAAAATGTATGCCTTGGTAACTAAATCAATTGACTTGCAGTAATGGATATAAGCAAGCAAAAACCCGATTACATGTTAGTGGATGCCTAACTAAGAAATCTGGTTTGGCTATATTTTATCCAAAGTTACTCTTTCCAGCAGTGTATTGGTTAGAATAAATTTAAACCTCATTTAACAGAAAGACCAAAATAACCTTGTCTGAAACAAAAGAATTTTATTTCTCTCTTACATAAAGAAGTCCTAGGGCTGGTGCAATGTCTCCATAGTCATCAGGACCAAAGTTCCTCCTCCCTTCCTTCTGAGCATCCTAGATGATATCCATCTTCAAAGACACCCACATAGTCCAAGATGGTGGCTTTGGCTTCTTCCCACATAACCACTTTACAAATATGAAGAGGGGAGAGAAAAGGGACCACAATTGTCAACTGAGTGCTGGAGAAATATAATTTAAAAGTAAAATCTCTGAATCCAGAAATCCTTCCAACAAAGGTAGTGGAGAAAGAAAGCATTTATTTTTGAATAAGCATGAAACCAT